CACACCAACAGAGATGCACACTAACCGAGTAAACAGCATGAGCTTCCCAGCATGTGATCAACATACTGTAAGACCCAGCCTACACACAAAATTAACATGTGAACCAACCCACAAAATAACATGCCTGCATAAACCCACTGTGCATGAATACACGCATAAAACATGGATGCCCACATGCTTCCCACAGAGAAGACATTAACATAAAGCATTAATGACTGTTTACATGCGCACAACTACCCTGGTCATGGCTTATATCCCAGATACGCGTTTCAAACATCATATCCTCAAGTCAGAAACCCATACATGCTATCTGGAACTTCTAAGCTGAACAGCAATGATAAGAAATCTGGGATACTGTTCGGATCATGTTTTCAAGCTTATGAATAAAATACATTCTAAACCACAACTTAAAAATTGGATAATAGTGTGAATATAATAACACTAAGGCACTAGAACATTTGCTTACATTAGGTGAGGGCATTGCTTGGTTAATATGATTTAGAAACCAACCTAAGGCGCGTTTATCCATTGATCAGGACAGATATATAGACCTAATGATCAATGACCCAATAGCAGCGATGAGAGAGGGCAGTAGAATAAATGTGATAGCTGGGAACAGTGTATTTGTCAGTGAAAAAAAGATACAACTCCTAAACATCCGAGTCAAGCTCCAGTTACTTGCTTGCCACCTGAACACAAAAGTGATGGCGGTTAAACCTAAAGTAAGCAACAACACCGGCCCAGGCTCACTTAAAGGTAGGGTAGGTAAGTTTGAGAAACCGGCTCGAGATCGCTAGAATTTGAAAATACACAACCGGAGAAAATCTGCCACTTCCTTACAGAGCCCCTCCTCCAACACACACGAACGCGCACATGACCAATGAGGGCACGAGATAAGTTTGTGCACAGATGGAAGGCTGACAGGCAGGTAGGCCATCCAGTTATTTTAGCCGAGCCGGCTAAAATGATTGGTCGTGCTTTTTAGTATTACGGCTTCCACAGATGACATTTTTTTATGGATTTTTTGTCAAAGCACTTAAGATATTCATTGCTATCTGGATGTTAAGAGCATTCCATGGAATATAACAAAAAGTGTATCTCGAGCCGGTTTCTCAAACTTACCTACCCTACCTTTAAGCTGAGCTTGAGATGGACTACTTGGACTACTATTCTTATTTTAGTGAGCCGCTTTGAACAGAAACTAGACCTCCCCTGATGCAGTTACTTATACAAATACACATCTATGTAAAAAGGGCAAGAGGTGCATATGGTATGAGAAAGGAAGAAAATGTGTGTACCACAACACCAACAAAAGTAATGAAAAGCATGCAGCTAAAAGTCTGCTCCAGTGAACGTTCAGTGTCTTATCTTGCTCCACTGGCCTCACATCTCTGCTGCCAAACATTCTGTGGGCGGTCCAGTTTTTCAGCGCTGAGATCCAGCCATAAAGGCACCGCATGAAGCCCAGTGTTCAAAGAGAAAGCTCACTGACCAACAAGGTCCAGCTTTTGGCTTTTCTCCAGGACACTCCTCCCAGGACCCCTGATGTTGTTGTGAAAAGTTAGAACAGGAGTTTCTGTGTGTATTTGAGCAACTCTCTGTGAACGTGTATGTGTATAAGATCAAAGACATCATATTCATCACAACACTAGAAGCAGCTACTTGTCACAGAGGTGAGGTGAAGCCAGAGCGAGGCAGCAGAGTTTAGTGTTGCATCACATTTGGTTACACAGAACTTACACATCTCAAACACAACATGTGATAAGTACAGCCAGAAATAAGAGCTAGGAAATAAAACATCCTCAATGAGTCAATGACTCATCATGATTTAAGTGTTTGACTATGATATATCAACGGATCTTGGCCGCGTTGTGTTCCCCCCAAAAACCACACCACATTTCACTCGGAAGGAGACTGAGATCCAGACTTAGAATAGAACCCACAAGACTGTGATAGCAAACTGCAAAGCAAAGTGGACAACATGCACAGTTTGTACAAAACAGCTTCAAATATAAATATAATCATGCACTTAAAACATGTAGGCACAGCAGCCTTTTGTCAACTACTGATGGCGGACTATCGGATAAAAAAGAATCCTCTAATGGAAAATGTGTTCATTGCTGCAGGCAATTTCAGAATATGATGGTCTCACTTTACTGATATACAACTGAATTCCAAGATGTAACCCTGAAGCCAAACAAGTCTTGTTTTCCTGGAGCCACATGTTCTTCTGAAACAAAAAGCACTGCTCCTCAAGTAGCAGCTGTCCAGGCCTTGTTGTTCAACTGATAGATGTGGCGCTCTACCTTAGACAAAAAGCCATGTGTTCAGCCAATTCAAAGACTAATACACTGAAAGGACACTGCAGACTGCTTAGGCCAATTGCACAACATCCATTAAATGGCTCTGAGAGGGGGACTTATTCTAAACGGATAAGAAACAAATGCAAGTATGCTTCTGTATTTGCGGTATTAGTCATAGTGGAACATTTTGTTTTTCATGTATACAAAGTGTGACAGAATCACAGCCTATGATCCTGGAGTTGTGGTCCTGGTGTTCATCCTTGCACCCTGCTTGAGAGTGCCCGAGGTCTCTCTATAGTACAGTTCCTCCTGCTGAAGGCTTCCTCTAGGCGTGACAAAGCACATGATTACATAACGCTGCAACTACATGGTTCCTCAACCCTCAACTATCTGCTACTGTAGCCATGAGACTGTCAGCGGCCCCCTTCCCCCACCCTTCACAGCGCTCTCACATAGTTTACACACAGGCTGAACACTCAGGAGTCACACACACACCAGTGCAGAATGCTTTCACACTCAGGCTACACCGTACGCGCTCAGGAATACAAACACACTTTCGCACACACAACTCGAAACAATGCTTGGCTGGTTTAAAGATATGCCACATGACTAAGTCAACCACATAACAGTGTTGGCCTTTACTGCAGTGCTCCCACATGTGACACAAAACAGCAGCTCAGTCAGGAGACTGTTGGGGAAGAGCAGACAGAAACAAACTTTGAATAGGCTAACTAATGTCAGACATTAACCTCGGCGATTGTCGTGATGCTAGTTGTACGACGGCGTATTAGGGTGTTTTGTAGGTGTAACAAAATAATCAATACGGAGCAGAGGCATGGGGGTATTATTCCAAGTAAATACACAGCACGTCCGAGATGGAAAAATGAAACATTTACGAGAAAACTATTTTCTTGATTTGTTTTAGAACATTATGAGACAACCATTTACACATAAAGCTTATTGTTATTTTTAGGATACCAAATGTTCCTGCTTTAAAATGACCAATATTGGATAAACAAAATACTCTTCAGCAGACAAATTAAATAGCCTGATGCCTCTGCTCATAATAAGCAAAGATGGCTGTGAATTAATAGGTTCGTTTTCTCAATCCTAGGTAAAAAACAAAAAAACTGGACCTCCCACTCAAATCCCCCAAATGCTTAAACAGAAAACACACCTGTTCAGCTGGGTTATATAAAAACATAAATAAGAATGCAACATCCCACAGTACAACCTTAGGTTTCCCCATCCTTGGCATCACTGCATTTAGAGAACATATCTTGCTCCAACCAGAAGAAGCAGAGATGTGGGGTATATCCTCCACTGATAGCAGCTTTAGGGCAGTTTAGATTGGCTACCATTTGATGCCTCCCAGAGGATTTTAGGTTGACACTGCGTCAGTCATTCTGATTTCCCTCAGCCAGGTTACACTGACCTACACACTAACCTACACACTGACCTACACACTGACCTGCACACTGACCTACACACGTCAACATTTCCAAAAACAGTGATAATTGATGAAAAAATTAAATAATTTATGAAAGGGAAAGTCTAAAACAGTTGCTGATTTTTAAAGAAGAATTTACTGCTTTTTTTCTATAACATGCCAATTAAAATGAAATTGGATTTCTGGACAGTTGATGGGTTCTGAAAAAAGAAAAAGGGTCTCTGGGAATTCATCAATTACAAATAGACAAAAACAATCAGTCAAGCCACTTGTGGGATTCAAACAAACTGCAGTCCACTCTCTAATCTATCGATATACTGCCATGTATTTTGTTGTAACCAATTTTCTTTTAATCAAGGAAGCTACAAGATCAGATAATCTATGCATTTTGATTACGCCATGCAGCTAAGCAGTTGGGATATCCAGTAACTTCAATAGATTTTGGAGCAGCAGAACTCAAACTGGGCCCAAAGGTGGAGGGGACGTGATGACACTGACATAACAACAAGAGGATATCAAACCGCCCTCAATTCCACATCAAAGGGGAAATGACTCATAAACCTCTCTGAAAAAGCGTTCTGCTTTCAGAAACCTGTGGTTAATTGTGACTTGCACTTCATACACAATTTTTTGCATTTGAGAGTGTAAACACAGAAGATCAGTGTTGAGTAACTACCAGAAGGCAACCTTGAAACCACATCGAGTGCGCACCGGCCTTCCAGCTGTACACATACTTTCATTTTCTCCTTTAGCAAGTTTGAACCTTTAGTGATGAAATCTGCTGCTGCCAAGGCAGAGTTTAATATGCATTTAAGTGGCAGGATTAAGAAATGCCATTGATCTGCATAAGCACTTCTACTGGCAGTGAAATTAATACGCTCTAGCTATTCTCTTCATGAATAATATGCATGGCTGATTCAATTAACAAGCAATATCTCAGCTAATGTTCAAAAAGGTAGAAAAACTAAATAATTAAAACCTCAAATTCTGGTGAAACAATTATTCACTTTCAGCGTAAATCTAATCTATTTAAAAGGGATTGACCTAAAGCCCAGCAGTAAACTGATTTAGCGTGTCATTCGATTGGCAGGGGAAAGGAAAACATGCTCATCAGTGGGAACATTCGTGGGACATTAAAGGAGACATGCTGAAATGTGAACTTGGGTCGCAGCAACAAAACCCACACATAGTACACAAACACTGTAAAGCCCTTTCAACAGAAACAAAGCAAAGGTTTGTCCTCTGACCTGAGATGCAGATGAAGGTCATGTAGTCTCCCTGACCACCTGTGGCCAGGAAGGGGATCTTCTTCTTGGTCCTCCTCTTCACCTGCGCAGCAACAAGCATCTTCTCATCGTGGGGTATGAAGACCTCCTTGTTTATGGCCGACTTGATGCTCATCTCTGAAGAAGGCAGGAGTGAACAACTGGAGAATAGTTTGAGTGGAGAAAACGAGATCCACACTTCCTGAAGAGCAGAAGAGAACGGCAAGTTAAATTAGCAAAATATGTTGGACCAGGCTGACTATATATAAAATGCAGATCTAGAATTTCCTACTAAAAGTCTACAAAATTATGACTTACATTACTTGCATCTATTTTTAAAAGTGTTGAGATATAGAACTTTTTTATCCAAGTCTCTATGAAAACGGTTGGCCGTGTGTTTTGGGTATTAATAAATGAACAAGGTAATGACTGATAGGGAATTACATGTAACATTGTGCGTATGTGTCCCATTTCCAACTTTAAAAAAGCAGCAAAAATAGCCTTAATTGATCATATAGGTTTCATAATCTTTTTTGTATTATTACTATTTGTCTCCATTAGCATGACTTTGATTGGCACAGCTGTTTCAGGGCAGTGAGAGCAGTCATGTGACTGCTGGAAAGGATATCTATTAATCAACAAACCCATTGACCTCTACTGCACTTCAGCAAGCCCTTTTGCACTTACTGCTGCTGCATAACATGAAGCAAACATCCGAGGCACTTGGAGAGTCACATTGTCTGTGCTCCTAAAGCTAACTGCTTTACACTTGCATGTAAAAAAAAAGCCCCACACTATATGCACTTGCAACCCCTCATCACGGGTTGTTTGTCTGAGTAGTGAGCAGTTTACGGCCAGCTGATGAAGACACACAGGATTTTGATAGCAAATATTAACAACAGGAAAAAAACTAAATAAAAAGCTGTTGAACTGTAAAGCTTGATTCTGTGTTCACATCCTCAGGCCAGTCACTCCCTTACGGTACGTCCACGCGGTTCCGTCGCGTTGAAGCTTGCCGGTGGGCGTGTCTGGCTAATACTTGTACTGGCATATGATTTGATTGGCTTGCGCTTCCGTCGACGCTTGAAAAGTTGAACTTTTCTCAACTTTCGAAGCGAGCAATGGAGGCAAAGCGACGCGACGGAACCACAATGCAGTTCGGCAAAGTTTGACGTCACCCCATTCAAAGTGAATGGGAAGCGTCTCTGTTGAAGCATGCAACGGAACCGTGTGGACGTACTGTTAGACTCCAAAACGACATACAAACAATCAATCTACATTTTACACTATACTGCTCACCGTGTGCATAACATGAAGTAATGAGTTTAAGAGTTCCAAAGCTTAGATTCTCTGTGTTGCAGCCAGTCTCTAGTGGAAGTACAGGCCCTCGCAGAGATGAAATGTCTCGAGCTGAAGCTGTTAAGAGTACTGGTAAGTCTTACTGATACAGAACAGCAATCATGTTTCTATTATTACAAGCCAATGACTTCTAGGAAATGTATTTCTTTGTGGCTGGGAATAAACCTCAAGAGACACAGAAGTATGTCTGATGTTGCAGGGAAAACTGGGCTCGAATGCACAAAACAGCCAAAAAGAAGTGGGTGAATTGGTTCTAAATGCTCTCCTGAGGACCATGCATGGAGCTTAATCATTCTCTCGGCCACACACAAGAACTCACAACCACATCCTGCTCAGCCCACCCTGATGAAGCGATCCGATCTGTCAGTCTCAACCAGTCGATGAATTAATCTACTGCAGGCAAAGCCAGTCAGACTTTAGAGAAATGCCTTCATTGAACTGGCTGGCTAATAAATGACAGATGAGGAACAAACACCAAGTTGTTTTCTAAAAGTGAAACAAGTTTTAGACTGAGTGCTCAGCGGTTTAGGAGTCAAAGTTTAATTAACTTAAAGCACAACTTTCAGCAAGTTTACACGGATAGTAATAAAGTGCATGAGCCAACTTTTCCACCCCCTTTACTAGCTGCTGAAAGGCTGCCATTGTTGACTAGTGGTCATTGTTAAAGGAGGATTACGTCAGGTCAGAAGCAGGAATTCAACAGCAGTGAAAGCTTTAGATACAATGCCAGGGCTACAATATAATGCGATAACACTTTTATGGTTTCATTTTTGTTGTGTGTCAACTGTATGGTGATTTCTGAGACAGCATTTTGTGGCAGCTTTAAACTGAACGGCATTTCAGGCAAAGGTAATGTGTACAGGTGGCACTAAAGTAGTTAAGTATTCACCTTTCTGATAGTCACCCGCTTAAATGTAACAGTATAGGTTTTACAAAGGTATAATGTATTGTAAGGCCACTGTATTTTATTTTGCATTACATTGTACAGATGTTCAAGTCATCTTATACATCTCTTAATCTCCTATAAAAAGGCCCAATGAGACATATGACTGAATCACTGCATTGGTTCTACATTTACAAACTTTCGTTTCTGTTTAAGGTTCAAATGTATTTCCCCGTTTCCATCCATCTCTCTTCGCCTTCGCTCTCTCAGCAACGCACAACTTCACAGTGAACAAAAACCCAGGCCAAGATTTTGTGGAAAGTAATTACAGAAACTAATAAATATGCCTTTGGAATTGAAAAGCAGTCCAACATCCCAACCATGTTTGCTAGGGAAAACTTAAATGATAGCTGTGATAACAAGCACAGAGTAGTTTTGCAAACTACCTTCTTTCAAAAGCAAGAAAGCTTTTTCAAGCTGAGCCTCTTGAGCGAGCCAGGCATCGTGTAAAAACTGTGCCTCGAGTTGTTTGTGCATGTCGTTCTGAGCTCTGATAAAGACTGCAGGACTACTGTGCCAGTCTAACTTCAAAATGCACAAACAGTACAGCACGGAAAAGACTTGGACATCATGTCCTGTGAATAAATCATATTCGGAGGTCAGCTCTGAATGTATCCAGCATTAATGTCTTCAACAAGGACGGAGGTTTGAACTCTTATGTGTATCAATTCTGTCAGGGCTTTGACACAGTTTGTAACCAGCAAAAAATTGCTTAAAGGTCACCTATTATGCAAAATCCACTTTTTCATGACTTTTATACATAAACATCTGGGTAAAGAGATTCTGAAAGTTTCAGGAAAAAAGACCCCCTCACTTTTTGTCCTGATCCATTTATATAAAAACCTGTCTGAAAATGAGCTGATCAGATTTTGGCCACTTTATGATGTCATAACGATTTTTTTTGGCTTGTGTAACCATTAGCCAATCACCAACCAAGGTAACCCCCCCCCCCCCCCCCCACCATTGTGTTCATTTTAACCAAATATCTCTCAGAAGGGCGTGGGGAGTGGCTCCTTATTTTCATCTAAAGTAACAGACAGAGAATCAGCACTTTTGAAACAGGGCTGAAACAGAGGGGTTTATGGGATGCTGCAATGCATGATCTGTTTGGTATTTGGAGCCAAACACTTCAGAGACATGTTTTGTATATATCTGAGACCTATAATATATTGATGAAAAACAGTATAATAGGGGACCTTTAAGATGTCCTTGTTAAGGGGCAAAACGATTCCACAATTCTGTCATTTGTCATTATGCCAATGTTTACCCAACATACATGACACTGAATCCACATGTACTCACAAATGTAAAGTAACTGTCCTAAATGAATTCACCCTTTCCCCATGTCTATCCTTTAACATCTCCTTCTCTTCTCAGTTATTGGGATAATGAATAAGAAAAGAACATTAAGGTTAAATCTTCAAAAGCTACTCGTCTTGTTTTCCTCGAACAAATGACACTAGCAGAGTTCCTCTCTGTGGAAGCCCTTATCCGTAACATGCCTCCCTCATCTCCTCTTTCCTCCAGCTGAGAAAGAGGGTTGCCCACATCTCCCTGCAAGCTGTCACCAGGCAATGGGGAGCGCCTACCCCCCCTAAGGTGGCCTGCTGAAGCATGACGGGAAGGAGGGATAAGGGAATGGGGGATGCGAGGAAGAATACAAGGAGGATGATGAAGAGGAGGAGACAGAGGGGAGCCTGGAGGCAGGCAAATGTAGCCAGTGACAATGCATAGCTTATGGTTTGACTCGAGCAGTCTTATGCAATGCTCGCAAAGCAGGGCCAAATTAATGTACTGGAGCGGCTGTGGCAGTGAAAACGACGTACATATATTTTACGGCTGCTTATCACCCCATTTCCAAGCACGGCCCTTTTCCAGAACACTTCATTACTTGTGGCCGTGTATTGCCAAGCCGCACTGCTGTCTGGCTCCGCTCTTGCCCAGTGTGTTAATGTGAAATCTGTTCAGTCTGTGCTCACGGCTCTCATAGGACCTCATTGGGTTTTTGTGTTAACTTATTTTAGCATCAGTCCTGCTCTCAGCCTGTGCTCACGAGCCCATAGGAACCTGCCACTGTAGCAGGAGTTGCAGAAGAGAGGGGCTCAAAAGACAGGTGGATGACACAGGGCCTCCTCAAACTGAATGGAAGGTGTATCTTTATAAATATACAAACTCAAATTCAACACACCAGGTTTTAGAAATACATGTAGGGAGGAACCGCCAAGTATATTTACTTTTCTGCATATTGACTGTCAGCTTGCGTGAGAATTAAAGACAATAAAAATGGATCACAGATATGAAAAATGTAGCTGCAGTACTGTATGTGCATGGACTCTTGACTAAGACAAACTGAGAGACATCTAAAACGTACTGCGATATTGACATGTATGTGTTGTATATGTTAAAGGTCACCTATTATGCAAAATCCACTTTTCATGTCTTTTATACATAAACATGTGTCCCCTCTGTGTAAAGAGATTCTGAAAGTTTCAGGAAAAAATATTCGCTCACTTTTTGTCCTGATCCATTTATATAAAAACCTATCTGAAAATGAGCTCAGATTTTGGCCACTTTATGATGTCATGACGATTTTTTGGCTTGTGTAACCATTAGCCAATCACCAACCAAGGTAACCCCCCCACCTTATCACCTGAATCTCCTCCTAGAGCACCATTGTGTTCTTTTTAACCAAATATCTCTCAGAGGGGCGTGGGGAGTGGCTCCTTATTTTCATCTAAAGTAAAAGACAGAGAATCAGCACTTTTGAAACAGGGCTGAAACAGAGGGGTTTGTGGGATGCTGCAATGATCCGTTTGGTGTTTGGAGCCAAACACTTCAGAGCCATGTCTTGTATATATCCGAGACCTATAATAAAGTAATGAAAAACAGTATAATAGGGGACCTTTAAATAAGACATATGACATTAGGACCACGAGTGAGAACAGACTTAGGTTAAGGTTAAGTTATGTCATGGGTTGAGCAAACAAACGTCAGTTAGGGTTAGGGAATGTGTACACATGCATCAGAAATAGTGATAAGCATGGGAAAACACACATGTGCCTTATCTTTACTTATTAGAAAACACCCACCACTGAAAGGGAATAATAAATTGTCAACTTTGTTTGTCTAAGATTCTGCATTAAGATGTGTTGTCAGCTTCAACTATCAAAGGCTTCAAAATCCCCTCTCTGTACACGGCCTGCATTGCAAAGCCTAACAAGTTGGTTTGTTTTGGAAACTGAACATTTTTCTGACTATTTACTTAAAATTGTGAAGATAATGCATTACTAATATTCTAAAAACAACACTAATATGTACGGTGTAGTTCTGGAGTTTGATGTGCAGTATTTGAGATAAAGCTGAAACAGTGTACCTAAAATGTGCATGTTCAGAAAAGCATACAGTGCACTAGACTGGTATGTCAACAATCATTTTGTGTAAACAATACAGGGAAAAATAACCAATTTTACAACCGCAGAGAACAATAAGTAGAGCAAAGTTAGAAATATCACTTGCAGTTTTTGTGTAGACTAACCTTTGCGGAATGAGTATGAAGTACAAAACAAGATTTTGGAACATTATGAGCGATGGCAAGATAAAAAACAGATAACATAATTCATCAACTGTATCCACTTCTCCCACTGACATTAGATTGAAGTAGTTTCTTTATTCCACTCTGCACTCTTAAGGAAGAGTGAAAGAAACACTTTGCCTCATCTGCAGCTTATCATGCATGACTTTCATGTTGAATCGTTGCTCTGTACCAGGCTTTGATTTGACAGAAAAAAGCATTCCACAGTGTGCACGTATTCATAAATTACATCAGATGTGTTACTTTGAATGAGCAGTATCCATCGTCGCCACATAAACAGATCTGAAATGTTATAAAAGAATAGAGAGAGTACAGTGTCTACCCTGTTGTTTTCTTTTTGTGTAACAGCCAGCCTGAGATTAATTGAAATCTAATTCTACACAGGCCGCTAGAAAACAACAACAAACAAAACTGTTGGCATGCGCAGTAAACCCTGTCAGTCACGCATCATTTGCAGGTATCAGGTATCATGTTGATGACAAGAGCCAATTATACCAAGAATGATTATGCTGTACAACTACACACTTCAGTTCCAACTGGGGAAAGCTACATCTGGTGTTTCATAATACATGAAAGTCAGTAGAATATTCTTAATTAAGTCAAATCTGACTGCTATGCTGTTTTAGTAGACAAGGATTTATAACTAGCAAAGGACACAGGGCTGCAAGAGTATAAACTTGAATAATAAACAATGTCAGGCTTTATAAATGATGGCAAACTCTACTAACAGAAATTATAAGTAGTACTGCACCTCAACCATGTTCTTCAAATTGAGCATCTGAATCACAGTTTAAAGCATGCCAATGTTAACGAGCACACAAAACTACAAAGAAGTTATATTTTCAAAAGAGATTCAAGGTTTTGCACAGTTAAAACATGTGTGCACTGCAAAGGGATCAAACTGATGTTGAGATAATGATTGGGGAAACCCATGAAAGCACCAATAGCTGGCTCTTCTGAGAGAGGCTGGGACTGCTTTGTAGGAGCCACTTCATCCTTGAAGGAGGATTACGGCAGTTTGTTTGAAATGCTCTCAGACAGAGCTCTTTCGGGGAGGAGCATGAGGGAGGAGAGGAACAAAACCATTTCTGGCTTTAAGATCCTGCTCATAATTAAGTATAAGATTTGTCTTTTAGCTTAAATGTACATTGCATTTTCTCTTCACTACACAGTAAGTGTGGCAAGCAATGTACTTTTTATATTGTGGGACATGCACACAAAACGGAAAACTGCACATCCTGCACTATATAGCTATTTCACAATATATAAATAAGAGTTGATCACAAAAAGAAGAGCTCTCCATAGAAGCAGCTGGTTGAAGAGACCTTACTCTTTTAGCACAAAAAGGAAAAGGCCCGTCTATATTTCTCAGCAGCTGGTGAAGGTTATATAGAACCAGGGAGGCATGGGCTAACCATGAATCAATGAATTACATGTCAGGCCCCCAATGAGCTGATTCTTTATAGCTCAGCATCTTGTGATGATAAAACATTTGGGAGGGACTGAACTGTGGTAGGTAAATATTTGAAAAGTAAATATAAAGCACTTACTAATATTTGATGTCTCAAATACAACTGAAGAGACAATGATCCATTTGTATTCTAGGGAATGGGCTTGAGGCATTCATTCAGGATACAAAAGTGAATGTATAATTAGTTTGCATAAGGATAAGCTAAAAGCGCCAGCACTGCGTGTCTATGTACATATCCAAAAAAAGGAAGTATGGATTATACACTTAGTGCAAAATCAGCAGAACTTCCGATGTAAACCGACAAAACACAAACCAGACGTATGTCAAAATGTAACTACTTCCCCATTATATGTCTAGCAAAACTGAGTTAATGCTAAGGATATTAGCAAAGAGAGCATGCGAGAAGGAAAACCACAATCTCAGGATTCAGATTCCTCAGGGTCTCCAAATCTTACTGTCATCTTGTCAGACACACTGATGTATCATGTATCATTATATGAGCAACAAAAACAAGGCTCTTTATGTCTTTATGTCTGCCTTCAAGAATATCTGTCCTTTTTGGCAATAGTACGCTGAGGTGGTGGACACACAGGGAGGGAGCCAGCTCGACAGTTTATATTATGCTGACTGTAATTGGACACTGAAGTACGGAGAGGCTTAATCTTATCTTTTATGGCGTGCCATAGCAAATTAGGACTCTTGTATAGGATGCAATATTTAAAATGTAAGTGGGGAAGTTAATGCCATTAGGAGTCACAAGGGTAGGATTAGGGGACTCACTGCTAGTCTGAACCAGACATCCCTCTGGGTCTGAACCTGCCACACACACAGCAGGGGAGACATGTGGTAATTGGTGTTCATAAATACAGGCATTCTAACTTTAGATTCAGCAAAGAGCAAGCCCAAGCATTTTGGATCCTTAAAAACAACCAATGAAAGTGAGAAAAATAAGTCGTCTGGATGGTTTATTTTTCTTATAAAATAAGACAAAACGTGTTAAATATGATTTCAACAAAGAACAGGACTTCACATTTGGTCACTGTGAAGATACAAGCCAGTTTAGGAACCAGAAACTGACCATCCTATATAAGAAAAAATTAGGTTTCTGTAAAGATTAGATGATTGGTTTCACCTGAGAACCCAGGTATTAATTTGCTATTGTTGGGGCCCCATGTAGCGTCTGGGGGGCTAAGTAGCAGTTTAGTTTGCATATGCCTGCGCCTAGTTCTGGTTTAGTGCACACTCAATAACACCCAACATTCAAAACACAGCCCCAAAAAAGTTTTCAGTATAGTAACACTAAGAGTAAAGCAACCGTCTGTTAAATATCACATTTAATGTTAATCAATATATTGACTAATCTTGGGTTTCTGGGATATTTTTAAATGTTATTCATTCCATATGGTTTGTTTGCACCAGCACAAACCACCACATGTACCTTATATACTTTTGATGTGAATAGTGTGACCTTATGAAATAATTGTCATGTATTACTTTACGAGTAAACAGTGATGACACATAAGTAAGACAATCATAATACTCGGCTATTTAAAGTGGACTACACCCAAATTCACTTGACTGGGCTGAAATACATTTCACTGGAATATTATCACTTCCAAGATACGAGTACACGGGGGCCAACTTGAATGAAACTGATAATATGTTGTAAGACTTAAGGCTTGACACCATGAATGCATTTGTATTGTATTGTAAACCCCCTGTCACTACAGCCTGCGTTTATGAAGACAGCTCAGGTGGGGCGCGGTGCACCTCCATGAACACCATAAAACACACATTAACCTGAGTTAATTTTCTCAAAGCAGAGGTAAAAATAGTTCCCCATCAAGTTTACAGAAGAAACGTTTGACCACGCTTTGTTTCCACAACACAAGCACATGCATTCGGTTAATGAGCCAAACAACCCGCGCGCACACTTGTCCTGAAACCAACCGTAAAGTGGTGGAAAGTGTTGACGCAGTATTTTAATCCTACGCTTCTCAATAAAGCGAAAACAGATTCTACATTAATTAAACTTTACCACACTATTTCTATTTGAATTGAAATGTCTATAAAGAAGCACAGTCTGGAGTTAGCGTTACTTACCGATGTGTTTCAGTAGTAATTTCCACGTGCGGCGGGTCCCCGAGTCCTTCGGTTAATTTCTCCAGCTGCTGTCAGAGTTTACTCACTTTCCGCAGCCTTGTTTTTCCCAGTCTCCTCACACTAAACGGAAGCCTTTCACTTTTAACATCGCGTCGACTTTACTTCTGCGACAGTTGTTGGTGTGTAAGCGGCGGGAGGAGAGTTTGTTTCCTTGCTGCTGTTTCTGCGCAGAGACCGTCTGTCTGGCTGGCTGACTGACTGCGGCTGTGTGTGTGTGTGGGAAACCAGTAGCAGGTTCCCAGACACACACACTCCCTCCCCGCCAATCACGTACAGTGACACACCACCACGTAGCAGGCATTTCACATCTGCATGTATAAGGAGTCTCTTTGAAGTGCCAAAGACCCAAGCCAGTTTATATGAAATGGAGTATTTTAAATGGATGTTTGTGTGTTAAAGTTAAGTTCTAAAGCATATTTAGAGCAACTTTTCATGTGACTTGTTACTAGTAGCATGGTTGTTAGCCTGAATATTTTTACAAAAACACCATACAAACATAGGTATTTAATACCACGGCACTCTACAGTCAGTAAAAGGTGCATCATAAGAATAGGACTAGGAGTTGAAAAATGTTGTTTGCTAACTCGTTTTTATGGGTATATTATATGTGTTAAAGTGTGTATACCTTAGACTACTGTATTTGACTCCAACCTTTAATATCTCTGATTACAGTGGCCGACCCTACACAATAACTCATGAACATGTTCAGTAGCAACTTCCAAAAACTCATATCAGAGGCATTTTAAAGCCATGAAGGGGATATTAGAGAAAAGGAAATTTGTGAAACATAACAATAGCCTATGTCTTTTATTAAAATGTATAACTATTGGGTCCTTCTTGGGCTCACAATATAAAAACCTAAGAAACATAACTATTTCAATACCTTAGTTGTACAGTAGACTACACTATTGTGCGGTTACGGGTCACATCAATTACTTTAAATCCTTTTAAGGATTACTCTACTATAGGACTATAAATGTCATATCTTAATAGGTGCGTTCACACCGGAGTACTTTGGTGTACTTTTCCCACAATAGTTAATCAGAACTACGATATATTTGCGTTCACACCAAAAAGCCCCAGGAACTAAAGTAGCTCAATTTAGTTCGTCCGACCCGCTTTTCAGTCCCTGCTAGAGAGCAGGGACTGTCGTGGGAGAAAGTAGTTCGTACGTCTGATTGGCTGTGCGGAATGCAAACCACGCCCGTTTGACTCTGAATTTTTTGTTGTAAGCGGCCATTGTATTTGCTCGCTTCGGACAGCACACCCGAAGAGATTCCTTTTGTGAAAGCAGTTATTATAGCAACACTAAATAAATCAATTGGAGCGGTGGAGTGATGAGGATGTGTCTGCGCTTCTGGCGATTTACTCGGAGGACGCGAAGCGCCGCATTCAGAAGCTTCTACTGAATGCAGTTTCTGTGGCTCTGCAAAGTTAGCAGACCTGGCAAAGTCATGTCGGGACGACTACCAAGGTAAAATAAAATACATGCACTGCACTGTTTTAATCTGCACAATACTGGTCTTATATGTACTTTTATTTGCTCAGTAGATCGAGCTAGCCATGCTAGAACTTGCTAACGTTAGGTCCAAGCTGGCTAACAACATCTAGCTAGCTAGCTATTCTCAGCCATGCCCGCTATGAACACGTTTTGACTTGTGAATAAGTGTGCAATGTTCTGTAATTTGCTTCACTAACTCATGGCACTAATCGTGTGTTTCAGGCGAGGTGTTTCTCTCAGGATTAGAAACTAGTTTTCCCCTCCGGGATAAAACGATAATATAACGTTAGCAATTAGCATGCTAGCTGGACATAATGCTACCTCTAACAATACATTAGTTGCTATAATTTCAAGTAATTTGCAACATTCATTCTACATGTTAATGGTAAAAGCTTAAACAGTTGATTACCTGCATGCCACAAAGACTGATGTTCTAATATTTTTGCACATTTAAGTAGAAATGTAATTGAAATTCTATTTATTTTTCCTTTTTTTTATTGATTGTTATAATTGTACTCAGCCATGTTATGTTAGATGTCAATCCACTTACACTGTAACTACTCTGGCCTTGAAAGAAGAAGAAGGTGATATAACTATTAATAAGTAAAAGTAAATCGAAATATGTATTGCATCACCGCTGCTTAGAGTTCATGCACAAGTCATTTGCTTGATAATGAATTGATGCATTGTAGCAATAATTGTAGTCAATATCAAAGAGAGATGTAATTTCGATATTTCAGTCCAAGCTTGATTGGCCCAGCTACCTCAGTATATGTGATGTATAAATAAAAGGATTACATGAAAACGGTTTGATCTTCTATCTCAGAGTAAACTGGACTATTAATCAACATTTTGCCTCGATGTTGCAATTAAACTGATCTTGTATCTTGCATTTTTCACCTTAGGAAAGTGGGCACGCAATGACAGCTTCCTTGACACCATCATGGCGATGAACCGCCGTGCCATGGTCAGCAAGGAGAATGAGGACCTGCGTGCCAAGGAGATGCACGACGAACGGCTGCTGCATTCACACAAGGCCCAGGAATCGAGGTGGAGCAACAAAATACCTTTCAGGCTGGGCTTCTGGCAGTGCTAAGCGAGCTGATTAAATCCAACAGGCCTTCAATACAAAAATGAAGAAAAACTTGTCTAAGGTGTGTCTGCACTATTGTAATTGTGTCTGTTGACGGGTAAATAAAAGAGAGAACCAAATGCACTGTACAAAATATCAGCTTTATTGTCAATTTACAATTTCCATGCTGTTCAGATGCCTCTCCACAACATTGCTTCCAGGCGAATACAGAGGAGTTGAAAAGAGCCCTTGGACATTCGGAAATCTTCGATCCACTGCACATGTTGGCACCACCTCCCACCAGGCCGACGTTCTATTGTTCACCCAGAGTTCCGTAGTATTCGCATATCTGGAACACATACAAAGACACAAATTAGCCCTACATAACTCCATAAATCCTACATTAGATAGTATTAATGTGATTTAATGAACGTACCATTGCTGTTCTTTGGGCGTGATAACGGCCATCATCCTCGGCTGTCCAACGGCGAAACATGTCCATAGCGTGTGCTTTCGTCGTCCAATCCTTTTGTTAAGGCTTCTTAACCGCCTTCGCCTCCGACTCAGCCTTTCTATTGCATTTGAATGGTCGATCTGTATTTGTATTTGTGGCTGAGTTATTGGCTTAAATAACTCCGTTACGAAGCTGTATAACACGACCACCAAAACGTCAACTCCATACCGTGTCTGAGGTCGGAAGGTAAACAGAAGCATACAGCGGAAGCGGAAGTTTTTTTTCTTCTTCTCTCGGTTTTTTGGCGAATTGCAACTTTAAGGTGCATACCGCCACCTACTGTACTCGCCGTGAAGTTGTTTGCGGCCTGCCAGTAAACCCAAAGCAGAAGAAGAAGAAGTGACGTCAGCGGCTCATTTGCCTAATCCACCCCCAGGAACTCATTTTGGTGTGAACGCGATCTGCTTTAGTTCATCAGAACTAAAGGAGCTCTCATGAACTAAAGTTCTCATGAACTACTGTGGGAAAAGTACTTGGTGTGAACGCCCCTTATAGTCATAATCAGCCTGTCTCTGTGACTCAAATCGTAATACATCTGATTACAGTAAGCTTTTCACATTATGAGTGGGAAGAGTAGGGTCTTCCCCAGGGTGAGCATAACAAAATGTAGCTTAAAGGGGACCTATCATGCAAAATGCACTTTTGTACGTCTTTTATACATGAATATGTGTCCCCGGTGTTCCAGGGAACTCACCAAGTGTCAGAAAACACAACCCTCTCTATTTTCCTCCATACCCAAATCTCTAAAAAAGGGGCTGCAACGGATCTGATACAGACTGATCCAGATTTGAACACTTCTATGACGTCACAGAAGTGGCGCTACGGCTATTGGGCCAACTCTCCACCTATCAGGGGAATGTGGGGTTGGGCCACGGCCGGCCATTGCCGCTCGAAAGCGCTGGAGACGCTGTAGTACATATGCCAGGCCTGTAAGTGGCGCTGTAGTCTGCCACAAAAGCAGCGAAGAAGACTTCCCGCCCATAGTTACCATGGTTACCCTTCTGTTTATTCTCCGCTGTGGCTTTTTTTCTCCCTCCCCGAGGCAAGCGTTTGCTCCCGCTGCTTTAATTCAATGCAATCCCTCCCCGTCGAGGCAAGCACTGTAATTATCTCCGGTTAGTCCACCAGCAGATGACAAACACCCACCTCTCCGTCTCTTCCAAGGAACGAGGGGACCGTGCGGCAGAGTTTCAGTTTCAGTTTCTTTCGCCGGTCAAGATGTCCGTTAAAGTTTAAATCTTCCGGACAAAATTAGAAAAGTGCCGGTCAAAGGTCTTCTTTGTTATTTATTGAGCTTTAAAACAAATGAATAACGACTCTATATATTAAAACACGGAGATCTTTTTTTCTCCCCCTCTTGACTTGATCAGAGCATGGCTACCCTCTCCTGCAGGGGGGCGTGGTCAGCTGCAGCTCACAGAGATCAGCCCCGTAGACAGCAAACAGCACATAGAGCGAAATGAGGCATGGCTAAAATGCATGATCTGTTTGGTATTTTGAAAACAGAAACGTATAAATATACCTTATATAGGTATGGCCCTACAATATATCATTTAAATATAGCATGATAGGTCCACTTTAACTTCTTTCAAATTGCCTGTTTAAACAAGCCTACACTAGCTGCATTTTTTCCTATAACTCTCCTGTTGATGTGTGGGAGGTGTCAATGTTCAAGTCTGCTGTAAACTGCCAACAGAGGTTTACTACAATCTTTTGTTACTCCAGCCATGCCAACAGAAATGTGTTCCCTGGGAATTCACACACTTGGAGGTCCTGGAACTGTGTGTGTATGTCTAATGTTTTGCTTGGCTGGTTGCGAGTCATCCAATTTTCCCTCTCTAAATCCTCTCCTGGTGGATTGTTTTTTTTCATAAACTCTTTCTTCAGTTCCAACAGACTTGGACAATGCTGCCTCATTTGAGATAGTTCACGTTTTATGTGCTCCTGTTTCTTTGCCTCTGGGTCTCGGCATCTGATGATCGCTAACATGTTGCAGAGCCATCATCATTTAAGCCATATTTATTTGTCATGATAAGCAGTTGCTAAACTGGTTGTACTGCAGCAGATGCCTGTGAGCCAATTGAGAATGCTGTAATATTGAACGCATGATGAAAGATAAACAAGTGCACTTAAGGCTTAGT